CAAGATATTTACACTGAAAACTTCACAATACCATTGAAAGAAATTAAAGAAGACCTAACTAAAGGGAATGAGACCCCATGTTCATGGATTGGAAGACTTAACATCAAGATGGAAATACTCTCCAAAATGATCTACAGATTCAAAACATTCCCTAGCCAAGTATCAGCTGGCTTTTTTGCAGAAATTGACAAGCTAATCCTGCAATTCATATGGAAATTCAAAGGACCCAGAATAGCCAAAACAAACAATACTATAGAACTACCATAAGGATATGAATATAGATCAATGGAATAAAATTGATAGTGCAAAAATAAACCCATAAATTTATGGTCAATTGATTTTCAACATGGTGCCAAGACAATTTACAGGGAAAGAGCATAGTCTTTTCAATAACTGGTGCTTGGGCAACTGATATCCACTTGTTAAAGAATGATTTTGACCCCCTACCTCACATCATATACAAAAATGGATCAAAGACCTAAATATAAGAGCTAAAATTGTTATGTTTTCCTGGCAGGGGAGATACCGTGATCACAAAGGTAGTTTTCTCAGGGTGAGGCTTATCCATTGCACCCTGGATATGCTGACCCCTATGATTTCCCCAAATGTGGGAAACTCAACTGCATAATTTGTGGTAGTGGGGGACTGCGTTAGTGCTTTCCCCTGAAAAAAAGAAGAGCTAAAATTATAAAACTCTTAGAAGAAAACATAAGTGTAAATTGTTGTGACCTTAGATTAGATCTCTTACGTATGGTCCCTTAGATATGACACAAAAGCACAAGTAATAAAAAAAAAAGATAAATCGGACTGCATTAAAAATTAAACTTTTATCTACCAAAGTATACTATCAAGAAGGTGAAAGGACAACACTCAGAATGGGAGAAAATATTTACAAATCATAGATCTGATAAGGATCTAGTATCCAGAATATATAAAGAACTTTTACAACTCAACAATAAAAACAAGCCAATTAAAAACAAACATAGGCCCTGGCTGGTGTTGCTCAGTGGTTAGAGCATAAGCCCATGCACTCAAGGGTCACAGATTCCATTGCAAGTTTGATCGATCCCTGTCCCAGTCTGGGTGAGTGTGGAAGGCAACGAATCCACGTCTCTCCCTCTCCTCTCTCTCTTTCTCTCTCTCTCCCTTCCCTTTTCCCTTCCTCCTTTTCATGCTCTCTAAAAATCAATGGGAAAAATATCCGAGGGTGAGAATTAACAACAATAAAAAGGGTAAAAACAGACATAGGATTAAATAGACATTTCTTCAAAGAAGACATATAAATGACCAATAACCAAATGAAGAAATGCTCAACATAATTAGTCACTGGGAAAATACAAATCAAAACCGCAATGAAATACTACTTTAAACTCACTAGGATGGCTAATAATTAAAAACAAAGAAAAAAACAAGTATTAAAGATGTGAAGTACTTTGAACCATGATACATTGTTGTTGGGAATACAAAATGGTGCAGCCACTTTGGAAATCAGTTTGGCACTTCCTCGAAATGTTAAACATATGGTTATCATATGACTTAGCAATTCCACTTCTAGGTATACACCCAAGAGAACTGAAAATGTATGTCCCCATAAAAACTTGTACAGAAATGTCCACAGGAGCATTACTCCTAACAAACAAAAAATGGAAACAACCCAAATGTCCCTCAACTTATGAATGGGTAAACAAACATAGTATATCCATACAATGGAATATTTTTTAGCCATAAAAAGGAATGAAGTGCTGATACAGGAGACAACATGGATGAAACTTGAAAACATTATGCTAAGAAGCCAGACCCAAAAGGCCACACCTTAGCCCTTCTATTTTGGGATGATGAAATCTGAAATTAGATAGTGGTTATAGTTTTACAACACTGTGACTATACCAAACCCCACTGAACTGTACACTTTAAACGGGTGAATTTTAAGGCCTGGCTGGGTATTTCAGTTGGTTAGAGCATCGTCTCAATATGCTAAGCTTGTGGGTTCGATCTCTGGTAAGGGCACATATAAGAAGCAACCAATGAATGCATAAATGGGTGGAACAGCAAATCGCTGTTTCTCTCTCTCTCTCTCATCAATAAAAAAATAAATAAAAGGGTGAATTTTATGTGATGTTACTTATATCTCAATAAAAATGTAAAAATGAAAAACTACCAATATATCATATTAAATAGGTAATTTTTAGGACAGTAGAATTACTCTGTATGATACTATAATGGTGGCTACATGTCATTATAGATTTTCTCAAATTCATAAAATGTACACCACCAAGAGTAAACTATGGTCTTTGGGTGACAATAATATGTCAATGTAGGTTCAGCAATAGTAACAAATATGCCACTCTGGTGGAGGATATTGATGATCAGGGAGGCTATATACATGTGTCGGGGCAGGGGATATATGGGAAATCTCTATACCTTCCTCAATTTTTTAAAAAAATATATCTTTATTGATTTCAGAGAGAGGAAAGGAGAGGGAGAGAGAGATAGAAACATCAATGATGAGAGAGTCATTGATCGGCTGCCTCCTGCACGCCCCCGACTGGGGATCAAGCCTGCAACCCAGGTATGTGCCCTGACCAGGAATTGAACCCCAATCACCTGGATCCTAGGTCGATGCTCAACCACTGAGCGATGCCCAGCCAGGCTGCCTTCCTCAATTTTGCTATGAACTTAAAACTACTCTAAAAAAGAAAGCCTATTAAAAAATAACAGTTCAACAAATACCCATGAACCTATTCCCAAGACTCTATACATTTAATGTGTTTCAACATTTGTTATGTACAAGTGCAACACAAGGCAATGTGCTTTGTTTTAAGGAAAGGGAAGAAAGAATAAAGCGTGGGGGTTCAACTTCATACGAACACTTAAACAAATGCTGTCTTATTTGATTCCCCATGCCTATCACCTCTGAATTCTTATGCACTTTAGGCAGTAAATTAAGGATATTTTTGCAATCCTCAAAATCTGTTTAGTTCTCAGCAACAAAATACAAAGAAAATTTATAATGATATTTCTAAATCCTTTGCTAAATCTCTTCCCTCTATACACTTTTAACAGTATATATTAAAAATGTATAATAAACAATTATTTGCTTATTTGATAATTTAATAAATTGACAATTTATTATCTAATCAATGAGGTGCTCGTTGGGGATACCTTGACATTTATTCTGCCACTGAGGAGCTTACAATGTAGTTGAAAAGGAAAGACATATGAAAAGTTAAATAATAAATATTTGAACAACATTTCAAAACAATAAATAGAGATCTCACAAAGCATTGCACAACCAATTGCCCAATAAAGTACAAAGGCAATTAGTGCTGTAAGAGATTAGAGGAGAGAGAGGCTGCCTCATGATGCATTGTGTTTAAGACAAGGGTGAAATCTCAGCTGCATCTTGGCATACTGGCAGAATTTGAGTAGATGGAAGAGGCAGAGAAACTTGTAGTAAAATACTGTAATAACTACAAAGAACCAGTGTCAATATATATCTTCAAGTCTCCTGAAAATTGTTACCATTAAGACTCTCCCCTTAGGCCGAAATTGCCAGCATTGGGGTAATAGAGTCACATTGAAAATTCTCATTCTATAACACTGATCTTAAAAAGTCTGTCTTCCTGGCTTTACCTGACATGCTAATTGTTGTTTTTTGTTGCCAAGATGTGAGACTATCAAGGTTAGTGTGTGCAAACACAGTCGTTCCAGAGGAGGCTTGCAAGGGCATCTAATACAGAAACAGATGACAACAAGGTTGACATGTGCCCTTTGTCCAACTCCACTGTAGTCTGATAAGAAATACAAATGAAAACTAGGAGGTACCATTTCTCATCTACTAGAATGGCTATAAAAATAAAAATTGGAAAATAATTGTTGGTGAGGACATGAAGAAATTGGAACCCTCATACATTCCTGCTGGGAATGTAAAATGATGCAGCTGCTGTGCAAAACAGAATGGCAGTCAAAAAGTTAAAATATAGAATTATGACATGACCCAGCAATTCCACTCCTAAGTATATACTCAAAATAATTGAAAGCAGGAACTAACAAATACAGGGTGGGACAAAAGTAGGTTTACAGTTGTTCATATGGAAAAGAATACAATAATTAATAAATAATAATACAAGAATAAACTCCGTTTCAAGTACTTAACACTGTAAACATACTTTTGCCCCACCCTGTACTTTATGAGAATGTTCATAGTGACAATATTCACAATAGTCAAAATGTAGAAACCCAGTGTCTATTAACAGATAAATAAAAAACAAATTGTGGTATATTCATACAATGTAATATTATTCAGCCATAAATTGGAATGAAGGGTTCAAGAATATATGGATGGACCTCGAAAACATTCTAAGTGAAATAAGCCAGAAACAAAAGGACAAATATTGCATGATTCCACTTATGTGGAATATCTAGAATAGCCAAATTAAAAGGGACAGAAAGTTGATTATAGATTATTAGGGGCTGGTGGGAGGGTGTAATGAGGGAGTTACTATGCTTAACGCATCGTTTCAATTTGGGGTGATGAAAATTTTTGGAAATTATAATGGTAATGGTTGTGCAATATTGTGAAAGTAGTTAATGCCACAGAATTGTACACTTAAAATAGAAGATTTTATGTTATATACATTTTACCATAATTTTTAAAAAGTAAAAGTGAGCTAGGCCTAGGACCTGGTGATTTCTAGGTAGGGTGACTGTAAGTTCCAGAACAGTCCACATTTATGACTGTTGTGCCAGTCGTAATTATTAATAGTATCCCCTTAGGCTCTCAAAGTTGTCCTCATTTGAACAATAAATTATATGATCACCCTATCTCTAAGGATCTCTGAGACCTTAACCACGGGCATTAGGACCATGTGAACAGGCTTTGTGATGACATCACCTCTGGAAAACTTAAAAACCAGCGGCGTTCAGAGAACTGGAGGCAGCTCAGAAGACCCCTACACTTCACACAAACGCCCAGCTCCCTAGTGGCAAACCACTCTTCCCATTGAGTCGGATAATCCGCGACTTAGGAGAATCACTGGAACGATACAGCTGGGGCGGTGAGAGCAAAGGGTCCCACCCTCCTGGGTCCTGCCACACTGGGCAGGGCCAGCGAAAGATGGGGCGGTCCCTGGTAACCAAACTTGGTTCAGCGGACCAATGGGAACAGGCGAAGGGCGGGAACTCTGGGCCGCAGGGCGTTGGGGGCGTGGCCTGGGCCACGCAGGCTTTGGAGGCCAGTAGCGGCCGCCACGTAATTCCCAGGTTTGCGGCTGGATTTTGCCCCCGGCGTGCCACCGTCAGCGCTTCCGGGTTGAACTCCAGAGGAGCTGCTCCGGCCCCGCCCGGTCCAGGGCTAATGCTCCCTCCCGCTCTCAGCCCCGGTCGCGGCCCGCGGGCCCCTCCCGCTCCTCCGAGAGCCTGCTCGCTGCCTCCGCACTCCCGCGCCTGCTGCGTTGATAACGTCTGAACTTAAAACATTTCTTTACGATTATAAAATATACGCATGATTTAGAAGATTGGGAAGTTGGGAAAAGCATAAAAAATGAAAATAAAATTAAAAAGCATTAAAATGAAATTTAAAATTCTTATCTGTCAACCAGAAGCAATCATGATTGTCTTTGCTCGTTGTATGTTTAAGCCTGTTTTAACACGATTGGGACAATGCTGTAAAAAAAAAAAAAGTTGAGTATTGTTTATTAAGTGCGAAGTATTTTTCCTTGTCATTTTAATTTTATGCAGAAGTATAAAGTATTCCATGGATGCATGGGCCATTATTTTCATATTTTCCCAATGGGCATTGAAGCGCTTGGAACTTGAAGTGAACAGAGGACTGGAAGTGGGGCAGAGGAGACGCAGGTAAGAACTGGCTAGTCCACAACTTCGTCTTCCCTTTGTAAAGTTGTTCCACAAGAATGACAGGATTTTAGAGCTTTTAGAGCCTTCACAGTCTTAGGGTTCTAGAGTATGACAATCCTGAGAAACTCAGAATCACCATAGCTTGAGGGTGGTAAGGACCTCTGAAGAAATAAGTCCAAGTTTTAGCCAAATGTAGGAGTATGCAACAATCAGCCTTCTCAGAAGTTGGGTCCTTTCCATTTAGAACGTCACCTCCTTCTAGCTGTACTCAGCCTCAAAATGGCTCTAACAAGTCCTCACAGACTGGTCAAGAAATAAGTTAGGACCACACCCCAACTTCTTCCTCGCTAGGAGCTTTCCTAGGTATCTAAATGCTGTTTGTCCTGCACTACCGTTTCTAATTCAGTAAATAAGCAGGGCAGGGAAAGGAGAATTTTATATGGAGTTGTTCACTTATTTGATAGGAGAGAAATAAATTTTGGTCTCTTTTGGTCCCTTCCATGAAGCCATGGGACTGACCGCTCAGGGGGTTTATAATAATCATGAATTGGCCTGAATGTGGGTCTCCAACTAACAGTGATTAAATAAGGTAATGTTGAGTGGTAGTAGTTGAATAAAAAGAGCACTGGGCTAGAAGACTAAAAACCTGCATCTACTTTTGAACGGTGTGATGTTGATGATAGATGGGCCAGATACAGAAACCTGGGTACAGAGACTCCTCGGGGCAGGAAGCCCTGGATGCCTAGCAAGGGGTGAAACTGGGAAAACAAGAACTTTGTCCCCAGGGCAATCTATCCTCTCCAGCATATCGCTGGTCCAGTGGTTTGGAGCCCCTGAGGTTTAGACCCCCTGAGAGGTCCTCCCTAAAGTTAATATTTACGCTTTAGTTGTATTTTAGCTCCAGGTCCAGATAAGCAGTGAAACGGGACAAGAGGTGCCCTGGCTGACTCAGGACCAGATATATGACCCCCTGCCCTGGCAGTGACCTATCAGTGGAGACCATGACCCTGAAAGAGCACACCTGGAAAGCTGATGAATATTCTATTGAGACACTCCTCTGAGATCTCCCCTCAGATTCCCACCTGCAAGAAAGAGATAAATACTCTCAGGAAAGGGCCCAGTGTGTGCTTGCCTCCCCCCACCCCCCCCAAGGGGAGCATGACAGCACCACCTCCATCCCTCTGAGGGGACCCCACGAAACTTGCAAAAAGGGGAGCAGTGGGTAGCAGCAGCTCGTCCTGGGCTTACCCCCTGAACTTGTCTCCGAGGCCCCCTTCTCTCTCTGACTTCTCAGTGAGCCAAAGCAGCCCAGCCTCGGCTCCCCTGTTGCCTCTTCTGTGCTCTTCCTTGTTTCACTGTCCCAAGTACATTTTTGCTACCATCACAAACCCAATAAAATACTCTTTGGCTTAGTGCTGTGTAGCCCTTCCCTTTGGATATCCCCATCCCCTTTTAATAAATATAATTTTCGTTCATTCACCAGCCTGAGATGGCTATTTAGCCTACCCGCGCACCACTGACCATTAACTTTTCAGTTGAGCAAGTCCTTCCAATTCTGAGTCTTTATTTCTTCACCTTGTGATGAGGATATTAAGTCCTTCTTGCCTGCTTCATAAGATTGTGGTGAAGAACAATTGAGAAAATGTTTATGAAGGTGTTTTAGAAAAAAGAAGTCACTGTGTGTGGTTTTTGTTATTATTACTGGATGGCATAAAATTTTTCAAAATAATGTGTTGAAACTTTAAAAAATTATTTATTGATTTTAGAGGCTGCAAATATTTTTGATACACAATTTTTTACTTATCAAATGTGGAAAGTTTTCAAATATATTGATATTCAATGATTATGAAGGTATGATAAAACAAGAAACAGAAATAAATATAGCTATTTGGTAAAATGTACCAACAGCCTCAAAATTAATCTGTATAGAACTAATTCTACTTCTCATGATAGCTATCATAGGAAAGTAATATTAACATGAAAATTTAGTGTAATCCATAATATCTAAAGTAAAATATTTAGGATCCAATGATACATCTTTATAATAGGATATTGTGCAGCTACAAAATGATATTTGCAATGAGTTTTAGTAAACTAGGGAATAGTTTATATCATAATATACTGGAAACAAAAATGCCTCTAAAATTGGATGCAGTCTATATTGAAACTTTTTAAAAGATTATTTTTAAAAGGTGAAATATAATGAAATGTTAATATCCGATTGTCTTGGGATGGTGTGGGTTTTTGTTTTGTTTTATTTTACTTTTCTGTCTTTTTCACATGTTTTACAGTATGCCCTTCTTTTTTAAAATTTTTTTAAGGGAAGACATTCAGAGATGCAAATAGGAACTTATCATGAGAACCATTTGTATTTTGATTAGCAAACCTTAGAGGCAAAGTGTTAGTGTTCTTCAGCAAGTCCAATGTTCGTCCACAAATATTTTCTGGTGCTGAGAGAAACACAATGCTGAATCAGACAGGGATTCTAAAATCAAGGAGCATGGTATGGTGATCAGACAAAACACATCTGCAAATAACTATAATACAAACGATAAAGTCCAGAAGGCAGGTAGAGGAAAATATGTTGAACAGAGTTATCAGTATAGTAGAAGCAAAGGGTATATGAATAGGAGTGGCTGGAATGGTAAATTGGAGATAGATCACAAGAGCTATGAATGTCAAGGTGAGGAGTATGCTGTTAAACTGGAGGGCTGTGTGTAGCTATTGAAGGTTTTGCTTTGCTTTAATCCATTTTATTTTTAAAGTTATGATCTTCATGATATGTGCTTCAGAAAGACTGCCATTAGAAAGAAATTGGAATGTGGATGAGATTGACGGCTAGTAGATCCATCAGAAGCCAGCACAATAGTTCAGATGAGAGACAGTGAAAGACCTTGGGAAGTAGATGTGAAGGTAAAGAGAAAGGCATTCAAATAAAGACAGAGAGGATAGCTGAAGGAGGAATTACTACCTTCTGAGGAACTCATTTTAAAATTGGCCTCCCCATCATGATTTTGTGAAATCTGCGCCTGTGTCTCCTAATTTCTGACTGCCAGGCAGGAGAATACACTAGTTTGTTAGAGTCAAATTATGGCTTTTCTGTTTCTATTTTTCAGTACACATGTGGCATCTGGGGCTTGGGCAGCAGCAACTACAAAGGATCCTCCTAGTTCATTAGAAAAGTTTTTCTTATATTGAGTCATGGTGTAAGCTATAAAAGGTGTGTAAGCTATTTAAGAGATGGGAAGAAAGGGGAGAGGGTAGCCTCTCAGGTGTCCAAGTATTCCAGTATCCCTAGACTGGAGAAGCTTTGTGCAGCAGGCACTCTTCCAGTAACCTGAACACCGGCTCCGGGCTTCTAGAAAGATTCTTGACTGAGTTGCATACCTTGCTGCTTGGTGAGTGGTTCTTTGTACAGTTCCTCCCTTCTTGCAGGCCTCTATGATCTCACTAACCACTTGAGTTTCCCTCTTGCAGCCTCTTTCATCATTCTTTCTCCCTCTCTCCAGGGCTGAGTAATCCCCAATCACCCAGCCCATCCCTGAATAAGCAGAAAACTCCTGGTGAAGTACAGTCTGGGGAGTCAGCACCATTCCTTTCTGACTTTTCCTAGGTAGCCAGCTCCCTTCTACCTATGGCTTTGTATCATTTTTTTTCTTTTAAATATGATTTTCTTTGTACTAAAACCATACTAAAAAATAGAAGCAGAAAAGTCCTACTGAAGCTAAAATAGTTTTCATTGGAGTTAGCTTAATGCATATATTTTCACATAAGCCATAAATTAGAGCTATTGTGTCACCCTTGGGAAACTTTTTATAATAGGTACCATATAAGTATAACTTTAAAAGAAGTTTAACTTGAGATCAAACATATTTTTTTAAAGGGCCTCCCTTTACTCTCTCTCGTTCCCTAAGGCTTTCTCTGATGTGGTTGTGCTGAGAACTGCAGCAGGTGTTTTTTTAAAGAGCTTTTAAAGAAGGTTGGCTTGTAAAAATAAAGCCAGAGCCCTAGCTGGTTTTGCTCAGTGGTCAGAGCATCAGCCTGCGGACTGAAGGGTCCCAGGTTCAATTCTGGCCAAGGGCACGTACCTTGGTCACAGGTTCAGCCCAGTCAGGGTGCGGGCGGGAGGTAGCCAATTGATGTGTCCCCCTCACATCGATGTTCCTCTCTGTCTCCCTTCCACTCTCGCTAAAAAGCAATGGAAAAAAATACCCTTGGGTGAGGATTAAAACAAATAAAGCCAGAAAGACAGAGTTCCTCTATGCTTTTATTTGTGGTGCAGGATCTTGGAAAATCTAAAATCTATAATGACATCTAGGAATTTTTCTTTTTTTTAAATATATATATGTATATTTTTATTGATTTCAGAGAGAGGAAAGGAGAGGGAGAGAGAGAGAGAGAAACATCAATGATGAGAGAGTTGTTGATCGGCTGCAGCCCGCAACCCGGGCATGTACCCTGACCGGGAATCGAACCCTGATCGCCTGGATCCTAGGTCGACGCTTAACCGCTGAGCCACGCCCGGCCGGGTGTGGAATTTTAAAATATTCATTCATTATTTCATTCAACATTTATTGGAGCCTATATTATGTTCTATGACCTGTGCCAAAAGCTGGGGATACAAAGAAAAAAAAAGAATATCCTTTTAAGAGTACAGGACTATGTACAAGATGAAATAAACAAAGATTGGGAGACATTTGTCTGGAGGTGGAGGAGAAATTTACATGACTGAAGAAGTTGGTGCTTCGGTGCATTTAGCTCCATTCTTATCTAGGAAAGACTGACTTCATTGTCAGTTCCTCAGTAAAGTTGCTTGTGGCCCAAATTCCTGTGTGCTGTGTAAGTGCCAATTCACCAAATGTTGGTTTGAGATTTAGAGTTGGAAATGGAAGGATCTCAGAGCTTCTTGTTTGTTTTTGGTGTTGTTGACCATAGAAGGGACTTTCAGAGCTAAAAATCTATCGTGTTATCCTGTTTTTGTCATGTACAAGTTGTTTAAGCTTAGGCAAGCATTCTGTCTTCTTCCCTTCATCTACAAAGTGAGAAGGCATACCTATCATCAGACTTTTGATAAAGTTTCATAAAGTTTATGTAAACAGTTACTGCTTTGAGGGCATGAATAATGGGCTGTGCAAGTTACAGTGGAGGGACCACACCATTACTGTGAAGTGGATGTAGGAGGCTAAATAGGAAAGGTAACCTTTAATAAGTGTTGACAAGGATGTGGAGAAAAGGGAACCCTTGCACACTGTTGGTGGGAATATAAACTAGTACAGCTATTACAGAAAACAGTATGAACAGTAGGAAGATTACACCAGTCTTTAAAAAGAAGGAAAACCAGCCCAGGCCAGTGTGACTCGGGCTTTGTCCCATGCACTAAGAGATTGCTGGTTTGATTCCTGGTCAGGGCACATGCCCAGGCTGTGGTGTGCAGCAGGCAGCCAATGTTCCTCTCTTTTCACTTCCTCTGTCTCTAAAAGTCAAGAAACTATTCTAAAAAAAAAAAAAAAAAGGAAAACCTGTCATTTGCGACAGCATGGATGAACCTGGAGGACATTATGCTAAAAGAAATAAGCCATGCACAGAAAGACAAATACTCCATGATTTCACTTATATGTGGAGTCTAAAATAGACTCACAGAAGCAGAGTATAGAGTGGTGGTTACCAGGGGTTGGGGAGGGGTGGGGAGTGAATGAGAGAATGGGAGATGCTGTTCAAAGAGTACAAAGTTCTAGTTATGTAAAATGAGTAAGTCTAGAGATCTAATGTGCAGCATGATGACTCTAGTTAAAAATATGGTATTAAATACTAGAAATATGCTAAGACTGTAGATTTTAGGTGCTCTCATCACACACACAAAAAGGTAACTATGTAAGGAGATGATGTTAACTAGCTGACTGTAGTAATCATTCCACTATGTGTAAGTATATCAGAACATCATATTATACGCCTTAAATATACACTTTTTTTAAAAACCATATCTTTATTGATTTCAGAGAGAGGAAGGGAGAGGGAGAGAGGTAGAAACATCAATGATGAGAGAGTCATTGATCAGCTCCCTCTGCATGCTCCCGACTGGGGATCGAGCCTACAACCTGGGCATGTGCCCTGACCAGGAATCAAACCGTGATCTCCTGGATCCTAGGTCAGTGCTCAACTGCTGAGCCATGCCTGGCTGAGCAAATATATACATTTTTTAAAAAGTGGCTCATAGAGATTAGTAGGGAGATCAAGTCATAAACAGACAATTATAAAGCAACGAGGAATTCCAATCACAGAGATACAAAAACTCTGTGTATGAAGGGAGTACCTGGTCACGTAAAGTTAACATCAAGTGGGGGGAAAAAGTGAACATCAAATGAAATAAATATGAAGTTATTTTTATTGTTGCTTTTATTATATTGCTACTGCTACTACTGTTTTTGTTATTATTGTTGTTCTTAACAAGGAAAAGGTATAAAAAGTGGTAAATATGAATGGGGCTTCAGTGATAGGGAGTTTACTTTGTTGTCAGAAACCCTGCCAAGATTAAAAAAAAAAAAATTTTTTTAATTTATTTCATGGAGAGGAAGGGAGAGGGACAGAGAGATAGAAACATCAATGATGAGAGTTACTGATCAACTGCCTCTTGCATGCCCCCCTCCCTGGGGATCAAGCCTTCTGAAACACGGGAATGTGCCCTGGCTGGGAATTGAACAGTGACCTCCTACCTCCTAGGTCATAGGTCCATGCTCAACCCCTGAGCCATGCTGGCTGGGCACCTGCCAAGATTTTTTTATCCTGTTGTTTTATCAGTCCTTCCTATGGTGAAATTCCAAGGAGCTACAAAGGGCTATATAGGTAAATTGGGGCAGAACTGCTAAGAGACCATCTAAAAGAGACATATTCACAGTTAAGTGATGCACTTAGCATAATGCATTGCACATAGTGGTCACTCAATAAAGAATAGTTATTATCAGTTATTTTATTTTTTTAGAGAGAGAGGAAGGGAGAGAGAAACATTGATTTGTTGTTCCACTTATTTATGCATTCACTGGTTGACTGCTCTTTGCCCCTTGACCGGATTGAACCCACAACCTTGGCATATCCGGATATTGCTCCAAACAAATGAGGTGCCCCGCCAGGGCTACGAGGTAATTTAATGTCGGAAAAGTTTACTTAAGATCACGCAGCTTTTAAACAGAGATGAGAAGTCAGATCTCCATGTCTTGTGCTAGACGCCTGAATGAGTTAATCAGACAAAATTTCAGTCCTTGAGGAACTCACAATCAAATATGGGAAGGAGATAGTAGCAATACACAGTATGGTAGACGAAACAGCAGAATTGTGTGCCAAGTGTCCGGGCAACAAGAAATGGCAATTAATTCTGCCTGGAGAAAGCAGTGAAGGTGACACTTGAGCTGTAGCCAGGGCGGAGTCTGCGAGGGATTTCTGGAGGTCGAGCCTCAAAAGCTGCCGGAACCAAGGTGCGGCGGGAGTTGAGCGAGGCTCGGTCGCATAACGTTACTGGACCCGCTCGAAGCCGTTCCGTCATTGTCAGCTGCCCTGGGATTGCAGCTGCTTGGGTTGATCTGCAGCTTGCACAGTAACAGGCCGCAGCAGCAAAGGATGAACGGAGCTCTGGGAAAGGTAACGTGGGTTCCGCACACCACGGGCGCGGGGGAGGGGCGGGGAAGAGCAGAGCTGGGAGGTGGCCTGGCTCTCGCGGCCTCTGCAGACATCCGGATGTAGACAATGGCGAGAACGAGGCTCTTCCCGGCAGCACCCGGGGCGCCTCGCAATCAAAGGGTTGCGCTCCCTCCTCTCCGCTCCGGGCGCCCTGGGCCACACCGTCCCGCGCGCCACGCTCCGGTCACTAGCTACCCTCGCCGCCCAGTGGCCTGGAAAGAGAAGATCCCCACTGTGGGCGTCAGGACACCAGTATAGGTCCCAGTTTGACCTTGAGCAGGGCACTTTATTTTTGCGTTAACTCATGAACTTCCAGAATTTTTTCTAAGAATGTGTTTTTGATTTGCAGAACGGATTGGGATGTGAGGCTACTTGGCGATAAGGAAAGGGTGGTAATAAAATAGTTTTTACTTACAAAACCTTAAGTGGCTGCAGTAAAACCGTATGAACCACCATAAATGCATTCCTCGGCTTCCCCTTGGCCTCTTAACAGACTGAACAGATTTCATTTGCGCTCTTTCAGTTGTATCATGCTTCTTAGAATAATGACTTATTTTTAGCAATTTGTAAAAATTTTATTTTAGGTATTAACTGTAGAGACTATATCTCCATGATGCATAGATTAGCATGATCGTTGCTGCTCATGGATCTAGTAGTAATTATCTTGGGGCAGCCCCTGAATTTCTCTAGCTTTGTTTCCTTAAGGGCCCAAACCTCACTTCATTCTGTATGAAATAATTCACTGTTGTTCACCTTAGCCAAATTGTGAGAATTGGGCCAGATCTGGTGAAAGGATAATAGGGGAAAAAATCAGGAAGCTTCAAAATTCTATTGTTAAAGACGGTCAGATTGGTGATTCTATGCTTCTGCTCTATTTGCCTTGAGTCTGAGGAATGCTGAAAGGGAGGGATCCTGTTTCAAGGAATGACTGGTTTTGACCATTCCATACTCCTGGAGAGGCCATGGAAAGCTGTCATTAGGCCATCACCTGAAGATATAAGGGCATATAGGCCCTTCTAAGTGTGATGCCACTCTTCCCTTCTAGACCCCTTTTGCAGACTACTCTTTCATCTGCCCTGCTGCTTTGTACAGATAGTCTCGCCCTTATTTGCCAAATGCTTAATTCCTGATCCTTGATCTTGTGGAGCCTTCTCACTTGGAGTGCCCTCCCCCTTCTCACCACTTATCCAAGTGCTCCATTCTTCAAGGCTGAGCTCATCTCACCTTTTCCATAAGATGTTTCTGACTATTCCGGCTAACATGCCTGTTTATTTTCTGAACTCCTAACTGGTATTATGTTTTGGCACCTAATCATGTGCAGTCTTATGACCATTCTTGTCTCAGCCTGTCTGGAAGTGTTAGTTAATACTTTAAAAAA